ACACACACACACAGCACAAGAGCAAGAAGCAGCAAAATCAACAGACAACAGAAAAAAATCTTTAGGTATTGGAATTATCAAACGGAAAACCATCATGCTAAGTTGCAAAAATAAAAGGAGAGATCAGGACATAATGGTAGTATACTGGAAACTTTAAAAAATGACAAGGCAGATTTTAAAAATAACTAAATAGAAATTTTAGGATCAGGAAATAAATTATTTCAGTGTTACAAACATAACGTTAGACAAAGCTGAAGTGAGCATTAGTGAACTGGAAGATACAGTTCAGAAGAAGCTATACAAGAAGCAGCATGAAAGAGAAGTATGGAAAATAGTGAACAGAAGGAAAGGATAAGACTCAGAGGATATGTTAAGAAGATCTCATATTTGTTTGATTAGAGTCCCAAAAATAGAGGGAAGAAATGAAAGCCAAAGGACATATGTGAAAGGATAAAAAATAGACCAACAGAACAGAAGAAGAGAGACCAAAAACAGATCCGTGAATACTTATGACAAAAGTGGCACTGTAATGTGGAGTGGTTGATATTTTCAGTAATTGCTGCTTGGACAATTGAGTGTTTCTGTAGAAGAAAAAATTGGGCCATTATCATAAAATCAATTATATTTGGATTATAGATTTAAATGTGAAAGGCAAAACAATACAGCCTTTAGAGGATAATGTTAAAATATCTTCTTAATGGTTGGATAGAGGGATTTTTTTTAGCAAGGCATAAAGTGACTATATTATAATTAAGAACTCTTGTTAAGCAAAAAACAACATTAAGGTAGTTACAGAGTCACCAGCAAAACACTTTCATTTAGACTATGTTCAGAACCAAACAAAGCTAAATCAATGAAGAAAAGGTCAGCCCCATAGAAAGGTGGGCAAAATATTTAACACTTCATCACAGATGATACCCACGTGGTGAAAGGTACTTAACCTCATTAATAATCAGACCTTGATATTTATTCTAGTTTTGGTATAATGGCAAATTGTAAGCAATTTAAATACCAATAATAGGATCCACCAATTAAAGTTTTATATGTATTATAGGAATGCCATTTGGTCTTTACAAGTGACTTAGAGTTATGTAAGCTTAGATTAAAATGTTCACAGATTAGGTATCCCATTTCGGTAAAAAAAATACACATGAATATGTATTTGTGAAAAATACATTGCATGAAGTCTGGGAATATTTCAGAGTAGTTGTGCGTATAGATGATGGTATTTGGAATTATTTTAATCACATATCTTTTTTACTTATTTGTATTTTATAGTGTTTCTAAATGGAGCATGTACTGTGTTATTTATGTCATTGACAAAATAGGATGTACCAAAATAGGGCAGTATATTCATTTTTCTATTGCAGGAATAAATTTTTTAATTAAATTTTGATCAAATGAACCACCCCTTAGTGTTAAAAGCATGTGTTCATGCACCTAGGCATATAGTATGTACAGTAGCAATACAGAAAGAATGTGATAGTTTAATATTCTAAAGGTATGTTCAAGTGACTATCCATTTTCTTTTCACTTAAATGAGTCTTAATTTTTTCTTTTTCATTGCGGCTAATACCTGGTTGCCTTCTCCTTATTTCTTCTGCCTCTCTACTTTCCATTCTACTTTTACAATGCTTATATGACCTTAAATTTTCTTCTGTTAAAATTTTGATTGCACATCTAGAGAGTTCAGTGCTTTATAAGGTAAACTATATCATATAAACAGAATTCGTTTTTATAGCTTTAGGGTCTTAAATTTCCTTAAGAATTTATACAGAAAGAATGTAGAAATAATGTAATAGTTTAATATTCTAGAGATATGTTCAAGTGACTGTCATCCATTTTCTTTTCACTAAAAATGAGTATTAATTTTTTCTGCTTTTTCATTGCAATTGATACCTGATTGCCTCCTCCTTATTTCTTCTGCCTCTCTACTTCCCATTCTGCTTTTACAATGCTTACGTGTCCTTAGTATTTTCTTCTGTTAAAATTTTGAATTTGTACATCTAGACAGTTCAGTGCTTTATAAGGTAAACTATACCATATAAACGGAATTAGTTTTTAAGCTTTAGGGTCTTAAATTTCCTTAAGAATTTATTTTCATAATTTCACGGGGAAAAAATGAGCCCTTTCTAAAGTACCCTTTTTGATAAAGTAAATAAATCTGTTATTTGAAAAATGACAGGCACGTGGATTTTAACAAGATATTTGTTATCTGGCATTTTCTCTGTCATATCGAAGAGTGGTTTTGGTTTGTTTTTTTTTCCAAGTTGGAAAAGGGGGTAATTGAAAAAAATTTTTTTAAAATGATGTGCTGTGTTTTGCCACAACTTCCAAAAAAAACTGAGAGATAAATTTAGGATTTATTGCGCTAGTTAGCTCATCCATGTATGCTTGCCTGCTTTAACTGAACATTGTTTTTAGATCATTAATTGTTCCGTTTATCCTTTTTGAAAGTAGAAGCTAAAAATTGTGAATCAGTGTGCATGTATGTAAATATATACACATATGTACGTGTACTGTGTAAACATGTTTTGGATTTCTTTTAGCCAACAAATGGAATTTTCTTGAGCATGTTTCTAATTGTTTTGCCATTGGAATCCATGGCTCATGGGCTCTTCCATGAATTGGGTAACTGTTTAGGAGGAACATCTGTTGGATATGCTATTGTGATTCCCACCAACTTCTGCAGGTACAGTAATCTAGTATAGTTAGTGGTAACTATTCAGTTCATAACATTTTCTTAATATTTATATGAATAAAATATAGCTCCTTTTCAAAACCATATTTTCAAAATATAACTTTTGCGTTTCTTCCAGATTTTTAACAAACTTTATTCCAAGTGATAATATCTTCAGAGTTCAATTGAAATATTTTGATAAATATGATAAGCTTATATTTTAGCTAGAAACCAGAAAAATATTCATGTATAACTTTTCTGAGGAAAGCTCTTACCCTAAAGGGAATATTTTGTTTAAGAAAGTGTCCTCTGGCCAGGCGCGGTGGCTCACATCTGTAATCCCAGCACTTTAGGAGGCTGAGGTGGGTGGATCACCTGAGGTCAGGAGTTTGAGACCAGCCTGGCCAATATGGTGAAACCCCATCTCTACTAAAAATACAAAAATTAGCCTGGCGTGGTGGCAGGCACCTGTAATCCCAGCTACTCGGGAGGCTGAGGCAGGAGAATCACTTGAACCTGGGTGGCGGAGGTTGCAGTGAGCTAAGATCGCACCATTGCACTCCAGCCTGGGGGACAAGAGCAAGACTTCGTCTCAAAAAAAAAAAGTCCGAAACAACATAGTGAAATATAAAATGTGCACTGGGCCTGAGAGGCTGGAGGTTTAGTTCTGTGTTACCTTCGGTACATTATAACTCTGAACCTTATTATCTGTCTTTACCTAAAGACATCATTCCTGTTCATCTGACAGGAATGGTATGAAGAACAAAAAAAAAAGAAAAAAGTGAATGTAAAAACACTCTGCACACTGAAAAGTGCCATGCAAATACTAGGAATTCAGAGGATTGGCAGTGAAGTTTAATAAATGTTTATTGCAGTTTTATTCCAAAATAAATTTTACCCACAAAGGTGGTGACAGCTGTATAAATCTGTAAATGTGCTACATTTTGATTTTTATTTTATAGCTAAATACCTTTAAAATAGTTATTTGCCATAAATGAATTCTGATGACAGTTTTCATCACACTTTCTCTGGGGGAGGGGAGAGTTGAAGTAAAGTTTTTTTTCTAATTTCAAGTATTTAACATAAAAATCTCCAAATAGACTATTTGTAGGAAATATTTTCCTTCATGTTAAAGACTTAATCAAAAGTTGAAGGTTCAAGAACTGAGGGAAACAGATTTGGAAATGTCCGATAAAGTGAGAAATGACAACCTTGTAGAAAGAAAGAATATGTGGAAATAGTAATATGCACAGTTAGATATTTATTACATTGTAATTTTTTAAATGTGCTTACTCTTTTGTGACTGTAATGTTAAAAGTTAGTAGAATACTGTTGATGATACATGAAGCAAAATCTAAGGTTTTCAAAAATCCTGACAGAAATCCCTTTTCTGGATAGGAATGATGGTTTTTTCTTTCTCAATATTAACGGTATTTTGCTAGTTATAAGACTTGCTTTATCTACTAGAGTACCGTTTTATATTTATTCCAGGAGCAAATCTAAGTCTTCAACTAGTGTTCAGTATAAAGCAGTGGACCTAAATTTTAATAACTTTTTAAATGCCTATTAATAATTTCTTCTATTTATGTACCTTAAGTTAATGAAATTTGAACACAGTTTTTATAGACTATTTTTCAATACAGAAATATATAATTAAAATATTGCTTTTATATTTTGTGTGTTATAATATTTTTAAACAATAGTTTTTTTAATAGTCCCCACCCAGCTGTTCTTGAAACAGTGTAATCCTGCTTTTAAAAAGCCTTGTCCAATATCTGTCATGTAAGAAAATATGAATAAGGAACAAAAAGTAGTACTATCTACATTTGGAAGTATTATCCCAGCTTTTAATTTGATTATTGTTTTAATGATAGTGAGTATTTAGAAACCAGGTTTTGATTTTCTAAGCTTAATTCTTAGTACTATAGGAATTTTAGAAAGGATGATTTTTTTTAAAAAGCCTGCCTCTTAGCAGCAACTATATTATAACTTATTCTTAGATAATCAGTTATAAATGACAGATGAGAATGTGATACAGAATGAATACTTCTTAAACACCAAAATAATTGTTTTTTCTCTGCTTCAGTCCTGATGGTCAGCCAACACTGCTTCCCCCAGAACATGTACAGGAGTTAAATTTGAGGTCTACTGGCATGCTCAATGCTATCCAAAGATTTTTTGCATATCATATGATTGAGACCTATGGATGTGACTATTCCACAAGTGGACTGTCATTTGATACACTGCATTCCAAACTGAAAGCTTTCCTCGAACTTCGGACTGTGGATGGACCCAGACATGATACGTATATTTTGTATTACAGTGGGCACACCCATGGTACAGGAGAGTGGGCTCTAGCAGGTAAACTCACCTTTGGCAGTTTCACTATTGTAAAGATACACATGTATATGTAGAAATCTGTACTTCACACACAGTCATTAAATTTCCAGGATTCTTAGTTTACTGAACTGTACATATGACTCTAATTTGTTTTTCTTTGCTCTAGCATCCCTGTTTAGCCATCTCTAATGATAAGATTCAGAAATATGTCTTGTAGTGATTAGAAGGAAAAAATGCTTTGAGACTTATAGTTTCCCTGAAAATATTTTCAGAATTGCTAAATATATTTTTCAGAAGCTGATAAACTTCGTTGACTAGTATTTTTAAGTTTTGAAATGTTATGGATGCAGATTTCAGTAGTCCTTCACATCTGTAGTTTTATTTATGTTTATAAAGCTCACCAAAATTTTAAACAGCAGATCATGTAGTATGGTGGGAGTAGCATTTAGGTCAGGAGACCTTGGTCCTGGTCCTAATTTGCCACAACTGTGTTATTTTAGGCAAGTTAGTTAACTTCTGTTGGCTTCAGTTTTCTCGCCTGTAAAATAAGGCGGTAATTTTAAATGATCATTGAATTTTATTCTAAGGTACAAAATTCTGTAGGGATTGTTTTGCATTTGAAAAATCATAAAATAACTTTGGTTTACATGCATTATGGGAAATAGAAAACTTCTTAGTTATTGCCAAGAGAGAAATGAGATCTCTTTATATAATATATAAATTTGTCAGGCTTTCCAACTATTAATAGAGAGTAAGTCAAGGGCTTTGTTTTGTGAATTGTTACTTGCTTAGGACCTATAACAGAGCCCAATAC